GTGCATATCTCAGGGAATGGCGTAGGGAGATAGGAATATTAGTTGTTTATATTAAGAAGACAATATGGTTAAAAACGGGTAGACTGAGGTGGGGATTGGGGTTACGAATGTTCATACCATGACCAAGTAGTCTTGGTTGTCAAATCAGTGTAAGTCCAGGTTACGCGGTAATTGGGAGCAATTTGAACCCACGGCCACGTGAGGATGAGGGACCCCACGAGCATTTTTTGGGTAAATTTCGAGGGTTGTTTAATCTTTCTCGACTGTTCCTGAGTTGTATACAGTGTGGTAATTTGCACGTATATCAAGCCCTGAAATCGCTTGTTGGCTAAATTATTGTTCCTAAAATGAACGTTTCGGGGTTAATTTGTTTAGTTGAACAATAACCTTTTAAACGAGAGTATATGTTACGTCATCAACACGATGCTTTCGGTTGGTGGTAAAAAAAGCTTGAAGAAATATTACTCGTGGTGACCTAAAAGTTGGCTAATACTGATTTTCCACCGACAACGTTGTTGTTGACACTACATATATTCTCTTCCACTATACCGAACGGAGCATCTATTTTTGGACGCTTTTTGAATCTCTTTCAGGTAAGACTCAGCGAATAAACACTCGCGTTGGCCTTCTGAGCTTCATACTCATTTATCGTTGTAACTGAAATGACAAAATTTCAACTGGCAACTGGCCACCACTGAACTAACAATTTCAATACCAATTTACACTGTATAAATAAGACCCTATCTCTGTTGTTCGAGTCTTGTTATTGTGACCATTAGCTACCAGCTGACAACTCCTGATGTATTGATGGAAGACTTGTAGATTACGTCCTCGTTTAATGAATTTTCACTTCGGCAGAATGCGTGGATGGCTTTTCGGGTCCTAGATCAGAGCAGTCCAGTGAGCTCTCCTTATCGCGAGTGGACCCCGCATTTTCGATTGTCAGATTGGCTGAAGAAATAGCGATTATCCAACTGATCATAGACAACTGTTTATTTCCTATCGGAAGACATTCCTCGAATTTATGCTTGCATTTGAATAAATACAGCATCTGTGAGCGATGACACTACTGCCCATTTCCACCATAGATATTCAGCTCACTTTGAGCTAGTCCCAATTTGGTAGGAAAGAATAATCGCATGCTGTGTTTGCCTTGCTTCATTTCATTGCCTTCATTTTATGTGACATTATTGTGTGCTTTCTCTCCTCATCGTTCGCATTTGTGTTCGACTAATGAAATATTCATCCAGTTCACTAATTTTATTTGGCTGTATTTCTAGATCTCGCGGACTCTTTGGAATTTTCTCCTTCTTCCTGTGTGTTCTTCTCACGAGCGAGTAGAAGCATATACCCTGGAATATCAGTGACCTTATGTTAGGCTCCTTATTCCGAAATATTGCTGACGCGGTATCGAGCGAGTTTGCGGTAACCTTCTCACTTGTGGTTGTCCGGCTTTTACCACACTTAATCTAATCGAGCCTCATATGGTTCTCCATCCCAAGTTTCAAGGTCTGGTTGCCAGTTATGACTCATGGTACCGTGGACCGTAGAGTGTGCGGGGTATAGCTCTTCGGTTGCAATAATATTCGGTCATGTTTTACTACAAAACGGTGTCATTGTGTCATCATTTCCACTGTAACAGCTTCATGTACCTTGATGGCCACATGTCACTGAAAGAACACCAGCCATAGCAGGTTATTAATGTAGTGCCTCGTTGCTTCTCCCTCTGTCTGTTTGTTCTATTATGAGGCTCGAGAATTCTGGAATATAAAGCAGTTCAAAGTCAGAGTTTACAAGCATCGCACTTCCAGTGTCGCGAAACACTCTTATAACTGCCGTTAAATTCCATTTCTGCACGTCATTGTATTTCTACTACACCAGTTCATTATTGCAGAGTGTGTAATCCTCCAGTGAAAGCATTACAAACTGTAACCTCTATGGCTTGCCTTGAATTTACGAGTCGTCGACTAACAACGGTTCAAGGTGGTCGGCAAATATGTCAAGCTGTAACGGCTTCCTGATGAAATGCGCATATTGAGATATGGGTTAGTAAATATGTACCACGCGAATGGCTTATGAGTTATCTGGGCCGACCGCCACTCTTCATTAAAAAAATGGAATGAAATTCCGGGTTTTTGCCTCGAAACAAGGATAATAACGCAACAAAACTGATTACTTAGAAAAACATTGATACAAAAGATCAAATTACTACTTGGTTATTGTTCAACAGACTGTCACAGGGTGATAGTCATTTTGACTAGATCAGAATATTTAGTTGGAGGTAGTTGATTCAACGCCCATCACCATCGAGCGACTTTGGTAGAGGGCTGTCGTTATAAGTATCGTGATTGCTGGAGTCCTGTAGATCATGTTCGCAAGGTTTTTCCGCTGCGCAAACACAGAGTTGAAAGTGAAAATAATCATTATCGATGGTATGGAGTCATTCGTTAGTATGATCAGTTGTGGAAGCTATCTATGCAAAGAGGTGCGCAAATCCTTCATCAAAGTGATTCTGAATGTAAAAGCCTTTTACAGTGGGATGCAAAGTGATCAAGAGTTTTGAACTGTCATCTTACCGGAAACTTAGGCCTGAGCTTACGGCATATCCAGAAAAACAAGACAGGTCGTGCAAGCCAAGAAAAAATCCCGGTGTAACTTTTGTGGGGATTATTCAAGTTGATTTCACACACCAATATACTTAATCGGATCCGATAAATAAAAATAACCGTCCCAAAATAATCTTTGACTATTTCTGTTTGATGACTAAACTCTAACAACTATCGTCCAGTTCAAACACAAATTAACCTGGAAAGCACAGTTTTCTCGGGGAGCTTTTAAGATTATGTGAGCAAGTCCATTAAGTGAGTTAGGTGATTTTATTGTGGGTGTTCTACTTTGTTTCTACTCGCAATTGTAGCTTCAAGTCAACAGCTTTCATGCAGTATTTTCCTGTTTCGGCTTCGGATTCTTTTCAGAACTGAAGCAACAGTTGACCCGGAAGCGACTGAATGGAAGAAACCACGGACCAACTCCAAGTTTTTATTATGACATTCAATCAAAATTTAATGATTTGCATCTGTGATTGTTAGTAGAAAGTTTCTAAATCTATTTGAAACATATAGCTGGCAATACGTGGAAATTGGCACCATGACTGACTTGATTTTATTAAAATACGTAATGAATTAATTACGGTGATGGTTTGACGTATCATTCGACAAACGGCCAAGTCTCCCTAGCAAACAGCATGCCAGCACTTGTTCAACATCCAGGTCAAAACTGGAGCCAACGGATTCGCGATTGACAGGACAGTGGATCGATGAGACGAAAAAGGATTTCCATCAAGTGCTGGCAGGCCGCATTATCCATCCCCCAATCAGGAGTGAGATTCACCAACGTAAGGTTGAATTAATTAGTTTGTATCGCAAAGGCTAATAACAGTGTATTTTTTGAATTATATAAACGGTGTGTCCTGAGCAGATATACCGAGATAATTCGAAACAAGAAACATCTCACTGGAGCTAATGTGAGTTAAAATAACGGAAATATCTTGTCAAACCTCACACAGAAGTTAAACGCGCTGCAATATCAAACAGTGGTAATACTTATGTGCCCAACGGAGGGTACATTATATTACATTCGGTTCATGATATTTAGATATAAAGTCTCTGACTTTTTCGTGCAGAACATGCATTCAATGTTTTTATTTGAGACTGACAGCTTGTATTCTTGGCACAGAGAGATTGTACCTTCGATATAGGGAAATCCGCTTGCACGTTTCGTGTAAATCGGCCACCTATTTGCCGGGCTGATGGTCCACCAGTTAATTAAGACTTAGTCACGTATAAATCCAATCCTAACGTGTTCAGTCTCCCAAAATATTGAGCCTTTTTGAAGAACAGTTCGAAATTATCTTTCCGATATGGTGGACTGAGCTTGGAAGCAAAGTTTTGCCGTTGTTTGATGTAAGAAAGTATCATCGGAAGCGCTGAACGAACTAGCAGATCATGAAAATAAAGCCAGTTTTTCCGTGCAATTTAAATGAGCAGTTTTATCGTAAAATTCGGCGAACCACAAATTTACTGTGTCCCATGGATTACAAAGTTAGCTTGTATTTATCATGAGCTCACAGATTTAAAAATAATTGCTTCAAGCAGCAGGTAATATATCTTGAGATATCACCTTTACTCTAACAGCTGGTGATGTAACTGGTTCGGTGATCTGGACAGTGCGCGTTTTCTGATGGTTATCTAAGACTCCACATGTCTTTCAAGTGACTGTGTGTACACATAGCTGTGTTGCGCTAAGAATAGCTCTGCTGCTCGGGAATGCTTAGTTATATTTACTGAGGGACAACAAACAAAATTCTTCTGGACCACTTTTAGGGTGGGAAAGAAGGATGTACTATTGCAGAATGCCTAATGTACGGAAGCGAAGCTCATTTTCGCCAATATGTAACAAGTTTCGTGTGTGCTCCATTGTTTTTCATGCACGATGCCTGAAACTCATTGACAATTTTCACTAGTGTATTACAATCTTCTGCCTGAACCCTTGAGACGTTCGCTTCAATCGGTCGAAAAGGCATGATCATGTATTCCTTGTTTGCTTTGTTTACAGATGACCGTCTTTTTACTCCGACTATGGCGGCACATTCCAATAATTCGGTGATGAATATCGCCAAGAAAACGCCCACGGTTTTCCAATATATCTAATCTAATTTTGGAATGAGAATTCTGAATTTGGATCGACTCACGACCCAACTAGTTGTGTGCGTCAGAAAGTGCTTACTCGGTTTTTGAGCCACAAGTGAGGAATCAGGGATTTATGAAGAATACCGCGAATGATATCCTTGATATTGGCTGACAGCTGCGAAATGTTTACCATATAAAATTATCTACAGAGACCCTGAAAAGTACACAGTAAAAAGTCGGTGACCCAGATACAAGAGAGCGAATGCCAATGCTTGCATAATTTATTTCGAAATAAAGGTTTCTTCTGGATATCTAACATAGGATCATTTTCAGAACCAGTAAGTTGAGAACTATGCCCCAGTAGGTTCTCACGTGCACAGCGCCACCTACAAATAAATAGGAAAAGAGCTGTGATGCACAAAACACAAAAGAACAAAGCTGAAAGAGAAAAGATGGATAATTCCATAAAGAACAGAAGACATGAGGGCTTCTGTGGGAATTGATGGCCTGGATCATGCAACAAGAATTATGGAAACAGTGTGCATAAGGTTACATTAATTATACGGGTACTTTTGAGCGAGTTGTTGTTATTGTTGATGATGATGATGATGATGATGAAACTTATAATTTCCTTGTGGTAATCCATGAGGAAATGTCCCGGTCTGATAGCTTCACAATTCGAGATTTTGAAGCACAATCAAAGCACAAGACGAAAAAAGACCACGCATGAAATGGAATAACTATATTCCAGCTAGTCACTAAATCGAATGACAGCGGAAACTATTATTCACCTACTCGCCGATTACCAAATTAGCCACAGATGAAGGATGAAAACAACAACGATCCAAGGGTTATGCAGTTGACCAATCAAGAATCGTTGGAAAGAAAATATTGGGTAGCAAAAATAGGAATAACATGTATTTTAAGTTGTATTGCAAAAAAGCATAACTGCATAACCCATTGATAGATAGCGCAAAAAAATTCTGCTGTTGAGGAAACTGAAACATTAGGAGTGAAAATAGATCCGGGTAACAGATCAAGACTCTGAATAACCTCAGCGGTATTATTCAGTTAAAAACCGTCAAAAGCAAAAATGGTAGCTCTTGCTGACTCAGCTATATGAAATTTGGAAAGATGAGAGTTAGGAAAAAAGGGAAAAAATACTATGAGGGCTCAAATCGTTGCTAAAGCAGAGAAATGCGAAAAAAGAAGTGCATTTGGCATGAGAAAATTACCCCGTGAAAGAAAAGGGAAAAGAAAGGCAGAAAAAAGATCAAGAAAGCGTTCTTTAACGAGTTGTCCAAATAAAAACAAAAATGTTGGATGTAGATGGTGAACGTTAACAATACAAATCGATGCAGATCAGTGTGAACTGTGATCAAATAGATCTGAATTTGCTGTATCTCACACGACGTATATTATGATATCTCACCAGTAGTTTGTGTGGTAGACCCAGTTGTTGATAATCCTGAAATATGACGGGTGAGAATAGATTAGATGCGATAGTGAGTCGTTTGTATTCGGTCTGTTTTATTATTCGATGTTCAATTGTCACGAGTTTTGTACACTGAACTGTGTGCTCGTGTCGGAAACATGCAGCACACGCCGCACAAAACAGTGAGCATAGATATGCATTGGGATATGTATTTCATCAGTGATCAATTGATCGTAAGAGATCAAGTGAATATGTGAGTGAACGAATGTTGACTCTCATTGTTGTTTTTTGTTGATCAATGTGAACTGTGAATAAACAGGGGTGTAATTGAGAGGTCTGTTCGTGGTGATTGGTGGGAATGATAATGATTTGGATGCTCAAGGAAACGAGGATGGTGATTTTCTTGAAGTGGAAGGATATAGTGGCTTCAGTGGAAAAATGTACTTTGAAATTTGTATTTTAAAATTTAGGTATTGTGATTACTCACCGGTGCTTTCCGTTGTGGATTCAGATGTTGAACCACCTGAAATATGACGAGTGAGAGTGGGTTATGTACGATGGTGTGTGCTTCCTTTTCTGACTGTGGCGTAGTGCAAGAAATGCTACTGAATCTTCTCTATTTTTTCCGTTTTCTCTTATTAAGTCTGAACCGAAGCACTTTAGGGTGATCAAGTTTGGCACGTGATGCGTCGAGCCATTACGAAGTGAAATATGTACACGGATGTTAGGAGCACCCACAAGAATTCAATTCATCTCTGAGAATGTGGCCGAGAAGATGGGAAATGCTACTTAAAACTAAAGAAGCAGCTGGTTATGAAATACAAAGCCTTCTATTGAAATCGAATGAGAAACGACGTCTAGGCATGCTTTCTATTATATTCCGAGTGATTTCCAGTCCCGTGCTATCTCATTTATCGATGATGAAGGAATTAAACCGGTGCAATGTTCTAAAGACCGTTTCATCCTCACAGACTCTGCTCGTTTTCAGACTCCAGACATTTTCGATGGTGTTCAAGTCTGGACCGTGGGTGGGTCAGAACGCGCATTTGATGTGCAGGTATAACACCCGGATTGGGGTAGGTTTGGACGTACGTGTAACCGCCTTGAGATATTACTGTACTCCGCTGATTTTCCGAAATCATTGTGGGCAAAATTCCATTCAGTGTGGTGGTGTAGAAGTTAGTCATCCGTTTCTCTTCTACAAAAGCGGGATAAGACTTCCACACCTCAAAAGTTACACTCAGACCGTTAGAGAGCCATCAGCAAAGGCTGGAAGACTGAGTTCCAGCTTGCTGCTCCTGAAGTCGTCCGAGGAGTGCGTGGTTCTATCGGGGCGGTCTAAATTCAACCTTACTTCATTGCTAAATATCACATTATTCTCTCCGGCATTCCAAGTGATGTGATTTGTAGTCGTTTCTTCTAGAGTTTGTAAAGGACAATCAGTCATACAAGGCACTTGTCTCATCCTTCTTCACTGCAAATATGGTGCAGACTCTAGGAGTAACTGTACACTCCAAATGCTTACTTTCAGTCGCAGTAACCTTCGCAGCTTCGACACGCTCGTAAGTGGGTTCGAAGAACCGCGCAAGTGTACTCTCATGAACTGACTAGAGATTTTTTGTTGAATTCCCCGTTCACTCTAAATAAAATAATAATATGTATTCTTCAGAAGTATTGATCAACTATTGTCGATCTGGAAATTTTATCGGAAATCTGGCTTATGCTTATCCCAGAGTCAATTTGCGCAAATATATTTTCATTTTTCCAGCTCAAAAATCTTTGGACTTTGCGCCAACTCGCTATTTCGATAAATGCGAGATCTCTGTTTCTAATCGGAATGTTCAATTTGCGTAAACTTCGTTCTCGAATCACTTGTGAAGTGGATACTGACAAATAGCACATAGGTGAGTATGGGAAACGAGTCATCGCCGACTGAGATCGTTGATTTTTAAACCACTTTAGAATTCCTGCGTCTATTCCAGGATTGTGTTTATCAGCATTTCTGAACCCTTCGGGAACATTTTCTAGGATAAATGACAAAATTCTTGTGTATAATGGATATAGAGATGAGTTGACACATCAACAAAACGGATTTTCTCAATCCAAGAAATTTTGTCTTAATGGCATCATCAAAATCATAAATACAGAAATACAGACTGGGTTTAAGGGCATTTTATTTGCATGAGTATTCAGTGCTGAATAACTTATTTTGTTGTGTGATAAAGCAAATCAAATTGGTGTAAGGAGCACACCGCACAGGCTGCTAGAAATAGAGAAAGCATCTTTCGACTTTGATAACTAGCTGTGCAATGATCAGTCAGTCGGACGACATGGAATGAAACTAATAAAGAATGCAAAGTGACACTCATCGATGCTGATCAGTGTGAACTGTGATTAACTAGATGTGTGATTGCGGATTCTGCTCGAGGGGACTGTTGGGCAAACTGATTAATTGGATGCATATGACTGTGGTGATGATGGTACAATCAGATAAGAATTTGATAGCATTTGGATTATTTCAATTGGATCTGAATTTGCTGTATCTCACACGACGCATATTATGATATCTCACCAGTAGTTTGTGTGGTAGACCCAGTTGTTGATGATCCTGAAATATGACGGGTGAGAATAGATTAGATGCGATAGTGAGTCGTTTGTATTCGGTCTGTTTTATTATTCGATGTTCAATTGTCACGAATTTTGTACACTGAACTGTGTGCTCGTGTCGGAAACATGCAGCACACGCCGCACAAAACAGTGAGCATAGATATGCATTGGGATATGTATTTCATCAGTGATCAATTGATCGTAAGAGATCAAGTGAATATGTGAGTGAACGAATGTTGACTCTCATTGTTGTTTTTTGTTGATCAATGTGAACTGTGAATAAACAGGGGTGTAATTGAGAGGTCTGTTCGTGGTGATTGGTGGGAATGATAATGATTTGGATGCTCAAGGAAACGAGGATGGTAATTTTATTGAAGTGGAAGGATATAGTGGATTCAGTGGAAAAATGTACTTTGAAATTTGTATTATAAAATATAAGTATTGTGATTACTCACCGGTGCTTTCCGTTGTGGATTCAGATGTTGAACCACCTGAAATATGACGAGTGAGAGTGGGTTATTTACGATGGTGTGTGCTTTCTTTTCTGACTGTGGCGTAGTGCAAGAAATGCTACTGAATCTTCTCTATTTTTTCCGTTTTCTCTTATTAAGTCTGAACCGAAGCATTTTAGGGTGATCAAGTTTGGCACGTGATGCGTCCACCCATTACGAAGTGAAATATGTACACGGACGTTAGGAGCACCCACAAGAATTCAATTCATCTCTGAGAATGTGGCCGAGAAGATGGAAATGCTACTTAAAACTAAAGAAGCAGCTGGTTATGAAATACAAAGTCTTCTATCGAAATCGAATGAGAAACGACATCTAGGCATGCTTTCTATTATATTCCGAGTGATTTCCAGTCCCGTGCTATCACATTTATCGATTATGGAGGAATTCAACCGGTGCAATGTTCTAAAGACCGTTTCATCCTCACAGACTCTGCTCGTTTTCAGACTCCAGACATTTTCGATGGTGTTCAAGTCTGGACCGTGGGTGGGTCAGAACGCGCATTTGATGTGCAGGTATAACACCCGGATTGGGGTAGGTTTGGACGTACGTGTAACCGCCTTGAGATATTACTGTACTCCGCTGATTTTCCGAAATCATTGTGGGCAAAATTCCATTCAGTGTGGTGGTGTAGAAGTTAGTCATCCGTTTCTCTTCTACAAAAGCGGGATAAGACTTCCACACCTCAAAAGTTACACTCAGACCGTTAGAGAGCCATCAGCAAAGGCTGGAAGACTGAGTTCCAGCTTGCTGCTCCTGAAGTCGTCCGAGGAGTGCGTGGTTCTATCGGGGCGGTCTAAATTCAACCTTACTTCATTGCTAAATATCACATTATTCTCTCCGGCATTCCAAGTGATGGGATTTGTAGTCGTTTCTTCTAGAGTTTGTAAAGGACAATCAGTCATACAAGGCACTTGTCTCATCCTTCTTCACTGCAAATATGGTGCAGACTCTAGGAGTAACTGTACACTCCAAATGCTTACTTTCAGTCGCAGTAACCTTCGCAGCTTCGACACGCTCGTAAGTGGGTTCGAAGAACCGCGCAAGTGTATTCTCATGAACTGACTAGAGATTTTTTGTTGAATTCCCCGTTCACTCTAAATAAAATAATAATATGTATTCTTCAGAAGTATTGATCAACTATTGTCGATCTGGAATTTTTATCGGAAATCTGGCTTATGCTTATCCCAGAGTCAATTTGCGCAAATATATTTTCATTTTTCCAGCTCAAAAATCTTTGGACTTTGCGCCAACTCGCTATTTCGATAAATGCGAGATCTCTGTTTCTAATCGGAATGTTCAATTTGCGTAAACTTCGTTCTCGAATCACTTGTGAAGTGGATACTGACAAATAGCACATAGGTGAGTATGGGAAACGAGTCATCGCCGACTGAGATCGTTGATTTTTAAACCACTTTAGAATTCCTGCGTCTATTCCAGGATTGTGTTTATCAGCATTTCTGAACCCTTCGGGAACATTTTCTAGGATAAATGACAAAATCCTTGTGTATAATGGATATAAAGATGAGTTGACACATCAACAAAACGGATTTTCTCAATCCAAGAATTTTTGTCTTAATGGCATCATCAAAATCATAAATACAGAAATACAGACTGGGTTTAAGGACATTTTATTTGCATGAGTATTCAGTGCTGAATAACTTATTTTGTTGTGTGATAAAGCAAATCAAATTGGTGTAAGGAGCACACCGCACAGGCTGCTAGAAATAGAGAAAGCACCTTTCGACTTTGATAACTAGCTGTGCAATGATCAGTCAGTCGGACGACATGGAATGAAACTAATAAAGAATGCAAAGTGACACTCATCGATGCTGATCAGTGTGAACTGTGATTAACTAGATGTGTGATTGCGGATTCTGCTCGAGGGGACTGTTGGGCAAACTGATTAATTGGATGCATATGACTGTGGTGATGATGGTACAATCAGATAAGAATTTGATAGCATTTGGATTATTTCAATTGGATCTGAATTTGCTGTATCTCACACGACGCATATTATGATATCTCACCAGTAGTTTGTGTGGTAGACCCAGTTGTTGATGATCCTGAAATATGACGGGTGAGAATAGATTAGATGCGATAGTGAGTCGTTTGTATTCGGTCTGTTTTATTATTCGATGTTCAATTGTCACGAATTTTGTACACTGAACTGTGTGCTCGTGTCGGAAACATGCAGCACACGCCGCACAAAACAGTGAGCATAGATATGCATTGGGATATGTATTTCATCAGTGATCAATTGATCGTAAGAGATCAAGTGAATATGTGAGTGAACGAATGTTGACTCTCATTGTTGTTTTTTGTTGATCAATGTGAACTGTGAATAAACAGGGGTGTAATTGAGAGGTCTGTTCGTGGTGATTGGTGGGAATGATAATGATTTGGATGCTCAAGGAAACGAGGATGGTAATTTTATTGAAGTGGAAGGATATAGTGGATTCAGTGGAAAAATGTACTTTGAAATTTGTATTATAAAATATAAGTATTGTGATTACTCACCGGTGCTTTCCGTTGTGGATTCAGATGTTGAACCACCTGAAATATGACGAGTGAGAGTGGGTTATTTACGATGGTGTGTGCTTTCTTTTCTGACTGTGGCGTAGTGCAAGAAATGCTACTGAATCTTCTCTATTTTTTCCGTTTTCTCTTATTAAGTCTGAACCGAAGCATTTTAGGGTGATCAAGTTTGGCACGTGATGCGTCCACCCATTACGAAGTGAAATATGTACACGGACGTTAGGAGCACCCACAAGAATTCAATTCATCTCTGAGAATGTGGCCGAGAAGATGGAAATGCTACTTAAAACTAAAGAAGCAGCTGGTTATGAAATACAAAGTCTTCTATCGAAATCGAATGAGAAACGACATCTAGGCATGCTTTCTATTATATTCCGAGTGATTTCCAGTCCCGTGCTATCACATTTATCGATTATGGAGGAATTCAACCGGTGCAATGTTCTAAAGACCGTTTCATCCTCACAGACTCTGCTCGTTTTCAGACTCCAGACATTTTCGATGGTGTTCAAGTCTGGACCGTGGGTGGGTCAGAACGCGCATTTGATGTGCAGGTATAACACCCGGATTGGGGTAGGTTTGGACGTACGTGTAACCGCCTTGAGATATTACTGTACTCCGCTGATTTTCCGAAATCATTGTGGGCAAAATTCCATTCAGTGTGGTGGTGTAGAAGTTAGTCATCCGTTTCTCTTCTACAAAAGCGGGATAAGACTTCCACACCTCAAAAGTTACACTCAGACCGTTAGAGAGCCATCAGCAAAGGCTGGAAGACTGAGTTCCAGCTTGCTGCTCCTGAAGTCGTCCGAGGAGTGCGTGGTTCTATCGGGGCGGTCTAAATTCAACCTTACTTCATTGCTAAATATCACATTATTCTCTCCGGCATTCCAAGTGATGGGATTTGTAGTCGTTTCTTCTAGAGTTTGTAAAGGACAATCAGTCATACAAGGCACTTGTCTCATCCTTCTTCACTGCAAATATGGTGCAGACTCTAGGAGTAACTGTACACTCCAAATGCTTACTTTCAGTCGCAGTAACCTTCGCAGCTTCGACACGCTCGTAAGTGGGTTCGAAGAACCGCGCAAGTGTATTCTCATGAACTGACTAGAGATTTTTTGTTGAATTCCCCGTTCACTCTAAATAAAATAATAATATGTATTCTTCAGAAGTATTGATCAACTATTGTCGATCTGGAATTTTTATCGGAAATCTGGCTTATGCTTATCCCAGAGTCAATTTGCGCAAATATATTTTCATTTTTCCAGCTCAAAAATCTTTGGACTTTGCGCCAACTCGCTATTTCGATAAATGCGAGATCTCTGTTTCTAATCGGAATGTTCAATTTGCGTAAACTTCGTTCTCGAATCACTTGTGAAGTGGATACTGACAAATAGCACATAGGTGAGTATGGGAAACGAGTCATCGCCGACTGAGATCGTTGATTTTTAAACCACTTTAGAATTCCTGCGTCTATTCCAGGATTGTGTTTATCAGCATTTCTGAACCCTTCGGGCACATTTTCTAGGATAAATGACAAAATCCTTGTGTATAATGGATATAGAGATGAGTTGACACATCAACAAAACGGATTTTCTCAATCCAAGAAATTTTGTCTTAATGGCATCATCAAAATCATAAATACAGAAATACAGACTGGGTTTAAGGACATTTTATTTGCATGAGTATTCAGTGCTGAATAACTTATTTTGTTGTGTGATAAAGCAAATCACATTGGTGTAACGAGCATACCGCACAGGCTGCTAGAAATAGAGAAAGCATCTTTCGACTTTGATAACTAGCTGTGCAATGATCAGTCAGTCGGACGACATGGAATGAAACTAATAAAGAATGCAAAGTGACACTCATCGATGCTGATCAGTGTGAACTGTGATTAACTAGATGTGTGATTGCGGATTCTGCTCGAGGGGACTGTTGGGCAAACTGATTAATTGGATGCATATGACTGTGGTGATGATGGTACAATCAGATAAGAATTTGATAGCATTTGGATTATTTCAATTGGATCTGAATTTGCTGTATCTCACACGACGCATATTATGATATCTCACCAGTAGTTTGTGTGGTAGACCCAGTTGTTGATGATCCTGAAATATGACGGGTGAGAATAGATTAGATGCGATAGTGAGTCGTTTGTATTCGGTCTGTTTTATTATTCGATGTTCAATTGTCACGAATTTTGTACACTGAACTGTGTGCTCGTGTCGGAAACATGCAGCACACGCCGCACAAAACAGTGAGCATAGATATGCATTGGGATATGTATTTCATCAGTGATCAATTGATCGTAAGAGATCAAGTGAATATGTGAGTGAACGAATGTTGACTCTCATTGTTGTTTTTTGTTGATCAATGTGAACTGTGAATAAACAGGGGTGTAATTGAGAGGTCTGTTCGTGGTGATTGGTGGGAATGATAATGATTTGGATGCTCAAGGAAACGAGGATGGTGATTTTCTTGAAGTGGAAGGATATAGTGGCTTCAGTGGAAAAATGTACTTTGAAATTTGTATTATAAAATTTGAGTATTGTGATTACTCATCGGTGCTTTCCGTTGTGGATTCAGATGTTGAACCACCTGAAATATGACGAGTGAGAGTGGGTTATGTACGATGGTGTGTGCTTCCTTTTCTGACTGTGGCGTAGTGCAAGAAATGCTACTGAATCTTCTCTATTTTTTCCGTTTTCTCTTATTAAGTCTGAACCGAAGCATTTTAGGGTGATCAAGTTTGGCACGTGATGTGTCCACCCATTACGAAGTGAAATATGTACACGGACGTTAGGAGCACCCACAAGAATTCAATTCATCTCTGAGAATGTGGCCGAGAAGATGGAAATGCTACTTAAAACTAAAGAAGCAGCTGGTTATGAAATACAAAGTCTTCTATCGAAATCGAATGAGAAACGACATCTAGGCATGCTTTCTATTATATTCCGAGTGATTTCCAGTCCCGTGCTATCACATTTATCGATTATGGAGGAATTCAACCGGTGCAATGTTCTAAAGACCGTTTCATCCTCACAGACTCTGCTCGTTTTCAGACTCCAGACATTTTCGATGGTGTTCAAGTCTGGACCGTGGGTGGGTCAGAACGCGCATTTGATGTGCAGGTATAACACCCGGATTGGGGTAGGTTTGGACGTACGTGTAACCGCCTTGAGATATTACTGTACTCCGCTGATTTTCCGAAATCATTGTGGGCAAAATTCCATTCAGTGTGGTGGTGTAGAAGTTAGTCATCCGTTTCTCTTCTACAAAAGCGGGATAAGACTTCCACACCTCAAAAGTTACACTCAGACCGTTAGAGAGCCATCAGCAAAGGCTGGAAGACTGAGTTCCAGCTTGCTGCTCCTGAAGTCGTCCGAGGAGTGCGTGGTTCTATCGGGGCGGTCTAAATTCAACCTTACTTCATTGCTAAATATCACATTATTCTCTCCGGCATTCCAAGTGATGGGATTTGTAGTCGTTTCTTCTAGAGTTTGTAAAGGACAATCAGTCATACAAGGCACTTGTCTCATCCTTCTTCACTGCAAATATGGTGCAGACTCTAGGAGTAACTGTACACTCCAAATGCTTACTTTCAGTCGCAGTAACCTTCGCAGCTTCGACACGCTCGTAAGTGGGTTCGAAGAACCGCGCAAGTGTACTCTCATGAACTGACTAGAGATTTTTTGTTGAATTCCCCGTTCACTCTAAATAAAATAATAATATGTATTCTTCAGAAGTATTGATCAACTATTGTCGATCTGGAATTTTTATCGGAAATCTGGCTTATGCTTATCCCAGAGTCAATTTGCGCAAATATATTTTCATATTTCCAGCTCAAAAATCTTTGGACTTTGCGCCAACTCGCTATTTCGATAAATGCGAGATCTCTGTTTCTAATCGGAATGTTCAATTTGCGTAAACTTCGTTCTCGAATCACTTGTGAAGTGGATACTGACAAATAGCACATAGGTGAGTATGGGAAACGAGTCATCGCCGACTGAGATCGTTGATTTTTAAACCACTTTAGAATTCCTGCGTCTATTCCAGGATTGTGTTTATCAGCATTTCTGAACCCTTCGGGCACATTTTCTAGGATAAATGACAAAATCCTTGTGTATAATGGATATAGAGATGAGTTGACACATCAACAAAACGGATTTTCTCAATCCAAGAATTTTTGTCTTAATGGCATCATCAAAATCATAAATACAGAAATACAGACTGGGTTTAAGGGCATTTTATTTGCATGAGTATTCAGTGCTGAATAACTTATTTTGTTGTGTGATAAAGCAAATCACATTGGTGTAACGAGCATACCGCACAGGCTGCTAGAAATAGAGAAAGCATCTTTCGACTTTGATAACTAGCTGTGCAATGATCAGTCAGTCGGACGACATGGAATGAAACTAATAAAGAATGCAAAGTGACACTCATCGATGCTGATCAGTGTGAACTGTGATTAACTAGATGTGTGATTGCGGATTCTGCTCGAGGGGACTGTTGGGCAAACTGATTAATTGGATGCATATGACTGTGGTGATGATGGTACAATCAGATAAGAATTTGATAGCATTTGGATTATTTCAATTGGATCTGAATTTGCTGTATCTCACACGACGCATATTATGATATCTCACCAGTAGTTTGTGTGGTAGACCCAGTTGTTGATGATCCTGAAATATGACGGGTGAGAATAGATTAGATGCGATAGTGAGTCGTTTGTATTCGGTCTGTTTTATTATTCGATGTTCAATTGTCACGAATTTTGTACACTGAACTGTGTGCTCGTGTCGGAAACATGCAGCACACGCCGCACAAAACAGTGAGCATAGATATGCATTGGGATATGTATTTCATCAGTGATCAATTGATCGTAAGAGATCAAGTGAATATGTGAGTGAACGAATGTTGACTCTCATTGTTGTTTTTTGTTGATCAATGTGAACTGTGAATAAACAGGGGTGTAATTGAGAGGTCTGTTCGTGGTGATTGGTGGGAATGATAATGATTTGGATGCTCAAGGAAACGAGGATGGTAATTTTCTTTAAGTACAAGTAGATGGTAACAAATTCTTGTTTTTCTTTTTTCGGTATATAAGGCGCGTGTCATCATTACTCACTCGTTGTTTCTGTTGTGGATTTACCTTCTCCATCCCCTGAAATATGATTGGAAAGATCATTATTGTGCGGTGATAAGGGTTTAATTTTTTCTCTTTCATATTTTTCTTCTATGAGTCTTCATTTCTATCCAAAAGTTCATGTTCCTTCTATACATTCATTTTATTTACCTAATTTGGTTTTGCAGTTTTCATCCGGCAATTCATTTTGTTTTATCCTTTTTTCTGTAACTGAATGGTAGTTCTCTCTCCGTGTTTCCGGTGTGTGCTTCGTTGTATGAGATCTATCTGAATAGGCACATTATTTTGAGTTTTCTTTCGAATAAAACGTTGAAATTTCCGACGTTTTTTTTCTAATTTTGCAATGAAAATTTGGTGGGCTGACATTTTGTCGTCGACGTTTTGTCCTCGATTTCCTCCACAAAGCTTGTTTCATGGAATTATTTTTTCCCCTCAATTTTTAACACTAATTTTTGTCCTTTTTGTCATTAGTTTCTATTTCTTTTTGGCTGATTATCTCAGGTTTTCCCCATGGCGTACCATTTATTCAAAGTTACTGCTGAAATTTTTTGGGTTTCTCACCTCTTTCTTAAGGTGGTGGTATCGTATGATAATATTCTTTCAAGTAGACTACGATCTAAGAAAATAAAACTTGATCTGTGGGATCTCCATCGCTGATCTTGGCCAAAGCGGAACGTCAATATCGTTTCGATGTTATCATGTCACTTCAGTAATGGAATGTCATGGAAATATAAGGGATTCAAGAAACCAGGTGAGCAGCTGTGTTAAATTACATGGTAATTGTGTCTGAGGCTTTGGTAACGTAGGTCTCCAACCAAGTCTTGGAGAATATTATAATTATCTAAATGGTTGTTTCTGGAATATTTTCACAAAATCAAACTCTGGCCCCTCCGGCTGTTCCCTTAAGTTATTCTCGCGATATGTTTCTGCTGTCTTCACAATTTTCTAATTAAAAAATTCACTGCCACACAGCATGCGAGAGAGGCCACGTTCGAACTCAAAAAAATCCAATAATAGCTTTTGACGGTATTCTCTATTTTTTCCATCCATTCGTCGAGTTTGTCCGTTTCATCGCCCGATCATAATAAACTGTAATGCAGTGGTACGAAGAATAACCTGGTTGAGTATGTGTATACTAGCATAGCTCTGTTGATGATCATGCTGTTTGTTGTGTCTTTTGAGGCCACTGCCATCCGTGTACTCGCCTTTTTTCCAATTTACCTACTCTTGTGAAATTTGCCAAATCTTTCATACCGGTCTTCTGCTGATAAATTGGACTCGCGAATTACGTCTTGCTTGGCAATGACCAGAGTTTAGAGTGCTCGTCAGAGCCTGATGAGGCAGCTTATTGATCATGGGATACACAAGCTATGCCAACTAGTTTGTCAAGAGTAGGGTTTAATGGGTAATATACGTGGGGTGAGCTAATTAAGGAAATCCTTCCACATGGAGAAAGGTATTTGATGGATCTTGAAATGATTATGAAGTCTTTCGAAAGCAGATCTGGATTATTACCTAGAAAAAAGCAGGACCAGGGACGTGAGGTGGAAGCGGATATAATTATGCTAGTTAGGAGAATATGTGTGCAGAGGTACTTCCTCTGTGACACGTAGTTCTAAACATGCAACTTGTAGGAGAATATCAACGATGAAAGACCACGAATGACAGTAACTCCGATATATTCAGTGGGGCATTTTCTGGCAGTATGCTCTAAATTATTTGGCAGGTCCACGTTGGGTGTAAATAGATAAGGGTAATAAGCGCTGGTCATAACGTATTGCACTGCAGCCGTACAAAGAAGTACCTGGTTGAGTATTTGTATAGTAACATCGCTATGTCAGTGATTATGCTGTTTGTTGTGTCCTTTGAGGCTACTACCATCCGTGTACTAGTTCATTTTCCTATTTACGTGCTCTAGTGAAATTGGCCACATCTTTCATACCGGTCGGCTGCTGATAAAGAAGATACACGAATTCCGTCCTGCTTGACGGAAGAAAAGAAAACAGAATGCTAATCAGAGTCTTATAACGCAGCTTGTTCAGCATGGGTAGGTAGTGTATGTCAATTTGTGTGCCACTCGGACTTCTCTACCCAAGTCCAAGACCGGTTTTGAGTGTCATATTGAGCACAGCCGAATCAGTGGCCATAAGAAACTGTCATTCAGTCATATAGAAACAATTGTTCACCACGCACTACACAACTAGGATGATCGAAGCAATAAAATACCCAGAAAGTAGCTCAATATTTACCGAAATTATTCGGCTATGTAGACAGATATTTGGCGTGTATCTCGTACCGATGAGTACTTCCATTCTGCCTTGCCCCATTTTAAACTGATTCCTTCAATCACTCATTTCCTCCATAATAATGAAGAGTTTTTGTAATAAATCAGTCTGGAGAATTCTACTGTTTAAGTATTTGTTCACTGAGCGACGATATAACTAATGGAGTTAGTGTGTAGTTTGATGAACAATCAAATTACCTTGGTTTATTTACTATAACACATTATTTCCTACGGTTTGTTACTCTCATGAAAACTAAATCCAGTAACTGTTTTATAGACCCGAAGATCCACATTTGGACACTATATATCCACTCCAATAAGAGAATAGTGAGATGCAGTTAGAAGTACGAATGAATGAACGTTTCAGCTCACACCATTTAGCACTTGAGTGTTCTAGTTGCCTAGGAATCTGGAGAGGCAGGAAATTGTAGGTTCGTAAGTTTACGAACGGAGAACGGGATGTTTGTTCAGCACGGAGCAGTAAAGGACGCTAAGGTTCGGATATCGTAAATTGGGAGAAAATTTGAAACTAGACTGGGGGCTTGAGGGGTACGTTTTGAGTGAGCTAGCTGTGAGAAATCCTACATCATCTTATGCTGTACACTCACTCATCATCCTATTTTACGGTGATGAAAATAATCGTTTCTGATTCAGGTTTTATTACTTAAAATGCTACGTACTTCATCCATCTCTACTGACTCATAATCACTCACCTTCGGCCACGCAAAGCCATATGAGCAGCAAGATTGTTCCCCAAAGTAAGAGAGTTTTCATGGTGTATTCGATTACTTAACCTGATCTATATCTTTCGAAAACACCATCATTTATATACTTCATGAATAATCAGACTCAGCAATGTTCAGCTGATCTTCATCCACGGAATTCAACTGCCTATTGGTTTGTTGCATTTTCACGTGTTTTTAATTTACATTCCGTTTCGCCTACTGGATAACAGTAAAGCGCGAGAGTTTCCACTATGAATGACTGTGTCTGGTTATTGCATGTGCACCTTGTCCTGTGAGTCCCATTACTATTTTAAGCAACAGCCGTTTCAATTAGAGTATTATTGTGATAGATGCTTTTTACGATTCACTGCAAATATATCAGATTACAGCAAGCGGATTTGCTTAGAACAGTATCATCACGTGAAATGCCTAATAATCACTTTGATTAGGAAAGCTGTTAGAGCTTTGACAAGTACCCTCACAATGTGAGTCTAACTCCAGTTCGAAGTTTGTGTACCGTGTTCACCCACTGGAAACTAAACAATAAATACAACTTAACCCAGTTTTTCAGCCAAACCGTGTTCCACTTATGAAATTTCTAGTTCCACTAGTGGCTTAGTTGAATTGCAATGGGAGGTAAAAAGTTCATATTTAATTCTTTTTTTTCTTAGATTTATTTGTGGAACCATAGAATTTCGAGCATCACTATCAACGAGGGTTTCAAGAAAAACACCAGACCTCTTTGTAACTTTGGTTTACGACCTTCAAGTCTGGAATCTTGGGTAACTGATAATCCTTTTAATTAAATGTCTATCTACGTTGTAATACACCCCACAAAGTCATGGTACATAAGTGAGAACGGATATTTGCGGCCGGCATACAGTCCATCGGAAGCGTGAGTTTAGATTCAGCCCTCATTGTTGACTTTCCCCATGTTTTTAACCCATTGTTGCTTTCGTCGCCCATAACTGAGTCTGTTCTCATATTTTACACGATCTTATGCACAGAAGTTGCTGTTTATTTACACTAAAGTGACCGTGTTCCCCATTTTCCCAGTCCAGTATTTGTGCTACGCCCGTTTACCGTGGACGATAGTCTAACAGCTGACCCGGTCTACCTGGATGACACCGCGATCGATCACCTTTGAATACTTGGTTTCCATATGGGGCTATTTGTGTTATATTCCGTACCAAAGAGAATTTGACTACATCCTCTATTGGATTCACTTTGTTTCTGTAGGTAACTCAGCTAGTTTAATGTGGAAGCTGCGCGCAGCAATGCCATATATTCTACAAATGTTTAAACCTCAACATTCACTATGTATCTCAATTCCGATCTATGAAAGCCCCATTCGGTAATCGAATTGATAATAATTATTTAGGAAAACTGAATACAATGCTCCACCGAAAGTGGTCTGATTGTACTTTGAACTCGCCTAAGTGAACCAAATTTGCAAAAATACACCACGTTTTTTCCTATTTGCTTTTGACAATGATGAATTGAATGATGTGATCTGTATCGCAACTCTGGTTGAAGTGTCATGATATATATTGAATGCGCGTTTGGTATTTTGCTAACCTTAGTCATCTATTACATTGACATGACATCCGTTCCTTTATCGGGTCCCGAGAAAATGTTATGCCAGTTCTCCCTCAAGCTTCTGAAGATTATTCACCGGAGAAGGAACTTTAAAAAATTCATTTTTGACCTCTGAAAAAACGATATCTCTGTAATAATACTCACTTCAGGAATGAAACTGCACTTCAGCAGTTTTTACACGCACGAAACAAATTGTTCGACAGTAAACTAATGATCACCAGGCTAAGTTGGTTGAGAAGTGCTGTACATGTCCTCGGACAGCCGTACTCGGCAGGAAATTTCAACCGAATCTGGTGTTGATTGAATGATAAACAAGAATAGCCAGTTTATAGTGTGAAAAATGGTATGAAAAGATTATCCGTCGAGCATTATTTGATGTTAGTTGGATTTGGTTCTCAAAGTGAGCATGACTCGCCCCAAGGTCATAAGAGGCAGTTTACCGAGATTATATATAGATACCAATTTTTAATATGCACATATTTATGTATATAATGCTATGTACATATAACCTGAACTATGTTTACACCTCCAGCTGAGAACAATAAAGTGTTGTATGTGATGAACTGTACTTCCTTGTAAATTTAGTCATTGTTCGGCTATCTAGCAGCTTTAACAACCATTCGCTACTGGTGAAAATTAACAAGTGAGCTGGTTTGATAACACTGATGTGAGGAGATGCATGACACATATTCTAGAATGTGCTCACGCCAAATGTATTTATTCCCTTCAGAACTGTTGGACTGGTTATATTATATGCATGATAAAATGTTTTGCCGTGGGCAATTAAAATAGGGGTTCGGTAGGACTGTGTCAATACTCTTGTACACCTCCGCTTGTTCTATTCATCCGACATTCAGAGTGCGTAAGTACTGAAATAGAGGAGCACATTGGAGCTGGGAAAACAGAAAGGTGATAGAATTTTGCTCAGTTATTTAGATGGCAGAAGTCTCAAACACCACTCAGTTTTTTCTTCAATGTCCATTATGATGTGCAATAATGCGAATGGAAGCGAAAAGGAGAGTTTCTTCCCAATGTGAACTTGGAAACAAACAGCTCGCGTTTGCAAGGCCATTTGGGTTATTGTGATGGGGAATAATCAATGTTAGTTTAATGTGATTACGAATGACTAGAAGAATACTGGTAGTGAGTGACAGAGATCACAAGACCCAACTTGCGTTCTCATTGTCAAAGTCAGGTGATATTTGCCGTTTGTATGAAGTGGGATTTACCAATGAATATTACTTGACTTGTAGCCAGGTTGTTTTTTAATCCATACTGGCGGAGAAAAGTCCAATTGATTATACCGGGATGTCGTCCTATTTGTTCAGTGATTCGAAAAACAAAGCGGGATTATCAAATTGGGAAACGTAAAAACGTATACTAAGAAATAATCAGACAAGGATAACGGAGTACACACATCACGCTGTGGACTGCTGGCTAATGGTGTATAGATATTCAGTTGTACTTGTTAACTGGGGGACATTTGATCACTCAGGTCATTTACATGTCAAATTTAGGGCTCAATGTTGGCTTGAGAAAGTGACAAGTTGCGACCGACCACCATCACTGTGTAAAGTCGGGCGATGGGGCGAAGGGAAACGAACACTCAAGTTGTTGGGAGTTGAGTGAGGGAAACAGGATTGTTGGTGTGATTGAGGTAAACCAGTGTTCCAAGATTCACATGGAGTTTTGATTCAAACATAAATTACATTGATCGTGACGTCCATCACGCTGGCGTGGAAACCAGTAGGTGAATACACAACTGATGCATTTCGAGTGGGACGGGTAAGTCAGATAACACTAGGATGCACATGGGGACCAGAGGGATACACGCTAAATCCACGTGGGCTATGCCTTTGTGTTATAGGTGGGAGCTTGGTTTCAGGAAGTAAACTGAATTCGATGGTTTTTGGTACGAGTAAAATTTACTTGTGGGATACAAACAGCGTAACAAATCCTAGCTTCGACAGAAGAACCTAGGAAGAATTCACTAGTGACTGGTTCAATCTGGAAACAAATTCCTTAGAGATTTTGGTTTATGGTTTCCGAATACGCCAGTATATCTTCCCTCAAATTCGAATACGTCACTATTTGTTGGGCTCCTTTTTGTAACTCGATCCTATGATGTGAACAGTACTTTACAGCCCCAATGTTCTGGAATATTACGACGGTATTTATGTAAGTTCCAATGAGTACAAGTAGGTTGCTCCGCAATGAATTCTAACTAGAAGTTGCTCGCGTACAAAAAGGCTCCATGACTCTGCTATGTCCGAGACAAAAGTCGTGAGAAACCCGTTCGTTTTACCTCCAACAATAGTAACGGGGAATTCTTGGGCAAGGCAGCGACGTGGAGATCAAGGCGAACGGACGAACCAACCGAGGGCCACAGACAAAAGAACAGACGACGAACATGTCGGAGGCTTTTCTAAGCAGACAAAAGGAGGCATACGGACTAGCGGATGGGAAGAAGCGGAATCTCCGGCAGCCGGCAAGATAGCCCAGGTGAGGGGCTTCGAATCAAGCCATCAACTGAGACAGTCGGGCCAACCGAATAGAAATGATGCCCAAGGGAAGCAAGCTATCGGCCACAGGGAATTGGGCAGAACGTATTTGAAGCACTGAAGCCGCCGCAGGAGCAATATTGGTACCGCGCAGCCTGAAAAAGGACTTATATAAATGATTATATTTGTTTATTGACTTGAACTGTTAGGCCGTTGAAGTACAAGTATCCTATACTGTGTTGTAGTCCTTGTTACACCATGTTATAATATGCCTTGGCGCAGCCCAAGATGGTAGACCAGAGTTTTGGCAGACAGTTTACTTGAAGTGGGAAAGTTAAGGCATGCTATTACGCAATCGATTTTATCATACAACTTTCACAATCACACTTCTCAATATAGTGATAATTTTTACGAAATAGGAATACCAGTAAAATGAGTGAAGATGCAAGCATCTGTGGAAAAAGGTGGATAGTTCAGTCAGTAGAAGCATATTAAAGCGACAAAATTTAGATTGTTTGTCTTTTCAGTCCTTACTCGATGACACGGGTTTCGCTAACAACAGCAGTGGATCAGTCTGTCTGCTAACGGCGAACTTCTAAACCTGGTCTAGATTTAATTGAACTTGGTTCTATGATTCCCTAAGAACTCCATCAAACTAAGTGGTAAGATGTTATCGAACAAGCCATCTTTCACGAGAATCAGTGAAATATAACATGTAAATTCATGAGTTGCATTTTTGCAATCTTATCCGGGAAAAACGTTCGATTTTTCAAAAATATATGTACCCACAAACCTTTGAATGGTTCATCAACATCGATAAACTTACCATACGAGTAATGAATAGCCGTGATCCCGTTTGGCTTAAAATACTTGGATTACCTTCATCTGCAGTTCAAACAGAAATTACATGTAAAACATTGGTCTAGGTTGACTTGGTGCAACTGGCTGT